GTCCATCCCTTCACCCCCCTACATAACATTTTATGTAGCTGCAGGGTAGAATCAAAGGGGAATTCCATAGACTTGAGTGACAGCTCTGAGTCTCCTGGGGCTGCTAGCATCACATGCAAGATGGCAGCACCCAGCACCAGTCTCAGGACTTTTGGAAGTCTACACCAGTGATGGCGAACCTTTTTGAGCCCGAGCGCCCAAACTGGATCACTAACCCAGCTTATGTATCTCAAAGTGCCAACCCTGCAATTGCAACTTAGGTGGTTTGTGCGGGCTCTCGGGGGGGGCTGTGCAGCCATCAGGGGCGCTGTATGGGTTCTTAGGGGGCCTGTGCAGCTGTCACGGGGTCTAGAAGGGCACTTAGATGGTCTATATGGGCTCTCGGGGCTGTGCGGCTCTGAGGCGGTCTATAAGGGCTCTCAGATGGTATATATGGGCTCTCAGGGGCTGTGTGGCTCTGAGGCGGTCTGTACGGGCTCTGAGGGGGGCTGTATGGGCTCTCATGGGGGCTGTGCGACTCTCAGGTGGGCTCTGCGATCTGTTGGGTGGTCTGTGCGGGCTCTCAGGAGGGCCGTGCGGGCTCTCAGGGGGATATAAGTGCCTTGAGAAGCCCCAGCGAGTGGCCTCTAATATGCCGGATTAGAGGGGTACCGCTGCCTGATTGTGGCCGCCCCGGATCGCATACTGAGACGATTCAGGACGGTCAGGCATATCTTCAGGAGCGTCCATGTTAATCTGAACCTAGGTCCAGGTGCCAGCAGAGAGGGCCCCGCGTGCCATAGGATCGCCACCCCTGGTGTACACAAAAGGAGGCTTTACAGATATATAATGTACATGAAATGCTCATATAATGGGAAGAATGTTCTTGAAGAGAATGGTCTGGCAACAAAGAACACCAAAACGCACAGCTCTGAACCATCTCGAGTGGTTTCGGCTTCCATCGAGAGCTTTGTTTGGCCGTCTTGGTTGAAAGCCGGGAGTCATAAGTCATCCTTTCTGTGTGGTGACCTCATCCATGTCCCGTCTCGGTACTCAGGGATAAGGGAGTGAAGGAATGTGTTTCCAGGTGTGTGTGTGAAATGTCAGCGCGGAGTAAAGTTTGTGTTGTCTGTGACTCACCCCGGGAGACAAAGGACTAAAATATGCAGCAACAAAAACAGCAACACAAAAGCCAGGGGCAAAGAGTGAGCGGCGCACAATGGACCAGGGTGGAGAGAGGGTGGAGCTGGAACGAGGAGATAAGATAAAATTAGTCATATGCAAAACAAACAACCTCCTTATATTGTATGTGGACCAGACACGGAACACGATACCGCACACCGTCATAGGCTACATGGACAAAGCGTGTGCTGTAATGTGTATGGGGAACTAATGACTGAGCCCGTCTGTAGGTGCAACGACCGGCTTACCGGAGTAACCACCATAGTGCCGGTGGCCTATGGGCTTGTGTCAACGCCATTACCATTACCTCCTTTTGACCTACAGTTGACCTCCTCTCTTGCAGTTGACCCCCTCACCTGCAGTTGATCTCCTTCTGTCCTGCAGTTGACCTCCTTCTCACCTGCAGTTGACCTCCTTCTGTCTTGCAGGTGACCTCCTCACCTGCAGTTGATCTCCTTCTGTCCCGCAGTTGATGTCCTTCTGTCCCGCAGTTGACCTCCTTCTCACCTGCAGTTGATCTCCTTCTCACCTGCAGTTGACCTCCTTCTCACCTGCAGTTGACCTCCTTCTCACCTGCAGTTGATCTCCTTCTCACCTGCAGTTGATCTCCTTCTCACCTGCAGTTGACCTCCTTCTCACCTGCAGTTGACCTCCTTCTGTCCCACAGTTGACCTCCATCTCACCTGCAGTTGACCTCCTTCTGTCCCGCAGTTGACCTCCTTCTTACCTACAGGTGACCTCCTTCTATCTTGCAGTTGACCTTCTCACCTGCAGTTCACCTCCCTCTCACCTGCAGTTGATCTCCTTCTCCCCTGCAGTTGACCTCCTTCTCGCCTGCAGTTGACCTCCTTCTCGCCTGCAGTTGACCTCCTTCTCGCCTGCAGTTGACCTCCTTCTCGCCTGCAGTTGACCTCCTTCTCGCCTGCAGTTGACCTCCTTCTCGCCTGCAGTTGACCTCCTTCTCGCCTGCAGTTGACCTCCTTCTCGCCTGCAGTTGACCTCCTTCTCGCCTGCAGTTGACCTCCTTCTCGCCTGCAGTTGACCTCCTTCTCGCCTGCAGTTGACCTCCTTCTCGCCTGCAGTTGACCTCCTTCTCGCCTGCAGTTGACCTCCTTCTCGCCTGCAGTTGACCTCCTTCTCGCCTGCAGTTGACCTCCTTCTCGCCTGCAGTTGACCTCCTTCTCGCCTGCAGTTGACCTCCTTCTCGCCTGCAGTTGACCTCCTTCTCGCCTGCAGTTGACCTCCTTCTCGCCTGCAGTTGACCTCCTTCTCGCCTGCAGTTGACCTCCTTCTCGCCTGCAGTTGACCTCCTTCTCGCCTGCAGTTGACCTCCTTCTCGCCTGCAGTTGACCTCCTTCTCGCCTGCAGTTGACCTCCTTCTCGCCTGCAGTTGACCTCCTTCTCGCCTGCAGTTGACCTCCTTCTCGCCTGCAGTTGACCTCCTTCTCGCCTGCAGTTGACCTCCTTCTCGCCTGCAGTTGACCTCCTTCTCGCCTGCAGTTGACCTCCTTCTCGCCTGCAGTTGACCTCCTTCTCGCCTGCAGTTGACCTCCTTCTCGCCTGCAGTTGACCTCCTTCTCGCCTGCAGTTGACCTCCTTCTCGCCTGCAGTTGACCTCCTTCTCGCCTGCAGTTGACCTCCTTCTCGCCTGCAGTTGACCTCCTTCTCGCCTGCAGTTGACCTCCTTCTCGCCTGCAGTTGACCTCCTTCTCGCCTGCAGTTGACCTCCTTCTCGCCTGCAGTTGACCTCCTTCTCGCCTGCAGTTGACCTCCTTCTCGCCTGCAGTTGACCTCCTTCTCGCCTGCAGTTGACCTCCTTCTCGCCTGCAGTTGACCTCCTTCTCGCCTGCAGTTGACCTCCTTCTCGCCTGCAGTTGACCTCCTTCTCGCCTGCAGTTGACCTCCTTCTCGCCTGCAGTTGACCTCCTTCTCGCCTGCAGTTGACCTCCTTCTCGCCTGCAGTTGACCTCCTTCTCAGCTGCAGTTGACCTTCTCACCTGCAGTTGATCTCCTTCTCAGCTGCAGTTGACCTTCTCACCTGCAGTTGACCTCCTTCTCAGCTGCAGTTGACCTCCTTCTCACCTGCAGTTGACCTCCCTCTCACCTGCAGTTGATCTCCTTCTCACCTGCAGTTGACCTCCTTCTCACCTGCAGTTGACCTCCTTCTGTCCCGCAGTTGACCTCCTTCTTACCTACAGGTGACCTCCTTCTATCTTGCAGTTGACCTTCTCACCTGCAGTTGATCTCCTTCTCAGCTGCAGTTGACCTTCTCACCTGCAGTTGACCTCCTTCTCAGCTGCAGTTGACCTCCTTCTCACCTGCAGTTGACCTCCCTCTCACCTGCAGTTGATCTCCTTCTCACCTGCAGTTGACCTCCTTCTCACCTGCAGTTGACCTCCTTCTGTCCCGCAGTTGACCTGCTTCTGGCCTGCAGTTGACCTCCTTCTTACCTACAGGTGACCTCCTTCTATCTTGCAGTTGACCTTCTCACCTGCAGTTGACCTCCTTCTCATCTGCAGTTGACCTCCTTCTCACCTGCAGTTGATCTCCTGACCTGTAGTTGACTTCCTTCTCACCTGCAGTTGATCTCCTCCTGACCTGTAGTTTACCTCTTTCTGACCTGCAGTTGACGTATTTTAAGCCGTTTTGCTGAATGCAAGTTTTAATACAATAACCAGTTTGAAGTGAACAGAAGCCCGCTGATGTAGGCCCTTCGGCCTCTTCCGCAATGCAGGTCCGTGAGTACATTTCTGACCCGTAACCGAACTGCAATACATCTCTATGGGCGGCCGGATTTAAGTGGACATCACCTATATCTGCCTACTTCCGGGTCCTCTTTTACTGACCAGATATGGGCGGATTTAAGCTGACACACATTTGGCCACCCTTAGTGATTACGTGGGTCCAATTTTTACTGCATCCCAAGATGGAGATAATTTCTAAATGGACACTGATGTCATATATGTGACATCCATGTTCATTCTGATCTGACTCAGCAGGAGATCTCCTGCAAATACGGAACGGACGGCGGACATGTGAATGGGGGTCTTACAAGAGATAGTAACTGTGCAATTCTTGTCTGTGTTTTTCAAATCTTGACACAGATCAGCCCCCTGCTGCAGTCTTATTGTTATACAGGATTTATATAGTGTAGTTTGTGCAGCCCTTTACAAAATGGAGGAAGACGGTTACAATTACAATACAATTTCAGTACAATAGGGTTAGGAGGGCCCTGCTCGTGACAGCTTACAATCCTAGTTATGACTTGTTACAATGTTTCAGTTGTTCATGGCAACCAATCAGCTTCTCTTTTTTTATTTCACAGCTTAACTGAACAAACTGAAAAGAGAAGCTGGTTGGTTGCCATGGGCAACTGCTCCAGATTCGGTCTGCTCCTGTTTTGATCAATTCCCCTCATTAAATATATATCTTATGGGAAGACAGTTGTTGAAATGAATGGCCTGGTGACAGGGTCTCTTTAAGTGCATGCAAAATAGAGATTTCGCTGTTACCTTCAAGAATCAAATCAAACGGTCATATAACAAATAGGTTGCTATGGGTAACTAATAATAATAATAATTATTATTATTACATAGCCCTCTAAAGCCAAGGACACCAAGTACTGGAAACCTGTCATCATGGCGGCACCCTGTTATGTTTTCCTGACGTCATTTCCTCCCTGACTTCGGCTTCAAAACTTTATTCTCTGTCTGTGTCTCCACAGCAGCTGCCATGTTTGCCAAGTTTGGTTCCTTACGTTGCAAGTCGTTTGGTCTCCGGAACAATGGCCGTCATTGTATAACTAGACTTACAACTGCAGACACTTTTAGTTTTAGGGAATTTAGTTGACATTTTGGAACTGAAGTGCATGAGACATTGGCAGCAGGGACAGCATGGAGCTTCTGATCAGGGGGACAGTGAGTAACCCGGGGGTCACATGGGGGAAGGGTGAAAAGAGGAGCACAGTCTGCACCTCTATGCTGTGTATTGTCAATGATGTGAATAGCACAAAGGGACGCTTGTCATATAGAATGTACACTTGCTCTCCAATCGGGAAGGGCGGTCCAGTTGCTGTGGAACTACAAGTCCCAGCATGCCTTGCTGCAAGTCTCCCTAATTACCTGGGATGTTTTGACAGTCTGTCCCTTGTTTTTAGAACTGACCACCTGCACCCCAAATCCTTCTTACTTATTATTTATGTTTATATCTCATGCAAAGCTCCATCTGAGCTACAAAAACAATGAAGGTTAAAGTGGTCACAACAGGAAGTGAGTGAATCTCACCAGCGGAGACAAAGACGGAAATAAAAGCAGAGGCGGAGAGATCCTTCTGCCAGGTACCCTAAAGGGGAGAATTCCCCTCACTTCCTGTCCCGGGAATCACACAGGAAAAGGGAGAATAACCCCAACCATGCACAGATAGCTATTACAAAACTGACAGCGGTTTAGACACTTATCCAGTATTTTACCTTTTGGATAGCGTGGAGAAGGATTAGAACCCGTCTAATTTGTCCTGCTCTCTGGGGGATTTCCCCTCACTTCCTGTCCCGGCGACTAGAGACAGGAAATTATAGGAGTGTTCCATCAGCAACACAGGCAGAAATCACTTTTTCAGCAGGGAAGGGCTGGAACCATTATCAGCTTTTATTTCTGACCTCTGTTGTAGATTTTGCCTCACTTCCTGTTTGGTAAAGCCGTTGTCACTGTGACAGAGCCTCAGGTAGCAATAAAGAGCAGACGGGTTCTAATCTTTCCCCGTTCTATCCAAAAGCCAAGGAAAAAGTTTTGTCTGGACATAGACTTTAAGTCCTGCTAACCAGCGCTTAGGGATATTTACCCCTCCCCCCTGCACTTTGTTTTGCCCCAGTCCCCCCTTACCTGTTGTACTGGACACCTGCCCGGTGAATTCAGCCTTGTCCTTTAATCTGCTGCCACAGCCCAGGTCCCCCTGTAGCCATCCTCTGTGACATCATCAAGAGCCGACTCTCTCTTACAGGTTCTGCAACCAGCCCCTGATGACATGGGGCCGGGTTTGCTTTCCATAACCCCCCCCCCAGCCCCTGCTCCTTTAGCTTCCTAAGTGCATATCCCAGGAGGATGCAGGAGCAGGGCATATCACTCCTACCTAGGGAAGGTGGGGGGGCTGAAGTAAATCTGAGCACTGAAGGTCTACTTTAAGGTATGCTAAAATGACGCGTTCAGTGATATTGACTGAGAGGCCACTTTGGCATGCCTTAGTCCCCCTATAAGATGCTCCTGCAGCTTTGATGAAACAGGGATACTGAGTGCTATACAAACAAATTCAGACTAAGGGCTTTTGCCTGTGAAGGTTCTCATTCCTCCAGGTCATGGTATATCTGTAGAAAATAAACCAAAACAACTGGACTTGCTGTATGTTTCTTGAAGACGTTTCGCTGCTCATCCGACCAGCTTTCTCAATTCAGAATGACTTGTACACAAAACTCTCTGAGAATAAATATGGTGAATGTTGCTCCAATCCACAATCTGCCTTTCATAACCGGCATGTGGTCAGAGACGTCATGGAGGTGAGGTGTTGATTGGAGCCAGCAAGTGTTATTAGGCTAGTAATAGAGTACAAGCCATTCTGAACTGAGAAAGCTGGTCGGATGAGCAGCGAAACGTCTTCAAGAAACATACAGCAAGTCCAGTTGCTTTGATTTATTTTCTACAGATGGCTTTTGTTTGCATTAGACTGCTTTGGCATGCCTATAGAAGTCTAAGGGACCCCTCCTGAAGCAAGTCAGAAGGAGGGGAGCTGCAGGTCGCATAGACCTGTCATTGAATTCTGAATGATCCCCATCTGATGCCATCAACACAAGCCCAAAGCCCGTCAACACAGGCCCTTAGAAGGTGTCTCTAGAGCCCCAGTTAGTACCCGGCTAGCTGCCATTTAAAGGGCCGGGTTCTGATAAACGTCCATTCAATAACCCCTCCCCCCGCCGTAATGTATTGTGTCTGTGTGTTCCGCAGAGGCCGCTGCTGAAAGGAATCTGCTCGCTACCTCAAATGCGGAGATTACATCGGCTCCCCCCCAGACTCTCCCCTCTTATCCCCATCGTGGTGGAACAGACGGTAAGTGGAGACACGGCACCAGACACACGAATTGTCGCATGTGGCAGCTTATTTTGGCGCGTCACGTGTCGCAGCACATATAGATGATCTGGCGCCTGGTAGAACGTGTAACTCTCACGCGTCATCATCCATTTGGTGCATTGCTGTTGCGCCAAACATTGCCCAACGCATTTTCGGAACCATTTATTTATTTGGCGCAGATTGTGAGGCTTTTAGATGCAAAGGTCGCACTTGGGATTTTCGCCAATTTCCGTTCTAGTCGCATCTTTAATTTCTTATTTTGGATCCAGTGATGTCATCACTCTGTCTCTGTGCTTCTTTATGCAATGCAGGTAGATCATGGCTGGTGGGAGGAGCCGGCAGGGTGCTGTACAGAGCTTCCTGAAAACATCCCAGCACCCTGCCTCAGTACGTCTCCCAAGAGCCTTCAGTCCTGATGCAGGCAGTGGGCCGGCTCTTGGGAGGAGTTATGCAAATATCAAAATGACTTGATGGGTGGGTGTCAGTCTGGAAGAGAGGGCGTTCCAAACAGGCTGTATTTGCATACGGACCGCCCTAGGTAACGCCCACATGTGATGCCAAGCCTCCATGATTGAAAGATCTGCCAATGAATGAAAGGGGCGGTCGTGATTGAATGTCCTCTGTAGCATTGAAAGGACTATTCCTTTAAGTGATAAGAGTCCAGGATTTCATGCTAATGGACATGTAGATGCCGTGGGGTACAATGATCATTGTAGTTTTCTACGTATCAGTTTAGATATTTGAGGGTCCCTGTGACAGGACGATCCCCTATAGAAATCTATCTGCTCTGCCGCAGGAAGGTCATCAGTCTCTTTTCCTTTCCAGGGCCGAGGAGAGCGAGCCTATGACATCTTCTCCAGATTACTGCGGGAGCGTATCATCTGCGTCATGGGGCCGGTGAGTCCGCCGGCCACTTCTAATTCCTTCTTAAAGGGCCGCTGCAGCTAAATAGGCAATGTGATCACATAGCAACACCTCATCAACTTCCCGTCAATCCCGTGTGATTTGTCTCTCTGCAGATCGACGACTCGCTCGCCAGTCTGGTGATCGCCCAGCTCCTCTTCCTACAATCCGAGAGCAACAAGAAGCCAATTCACATGTACATCAACAGCCCAGGTGCGTACACCACCCCGCCCTCCGTTCTCTCCATTGCATTGGCCGCTCTTAGGAAAGTTGGTGCACCAAGCGGCATGTCTGCTACAGGGAGCCGATCATGTGTTTTCAGTGAGCAGACATTTTGAGGTAATGGCATATACCCGGAGCAGCTTTCATTGCCCTCTGGGCCGTCCTGATTGGGTAAGGCCTCATTCACACGATAAACGGCCGGCACGTACACCTCTGTGCTGCGTGCACGGCCATATCGGGCAGCTCCCGGGAAGGACAGGTGAGGCATGTGATAGCCTTTGTCTATGGGAGTACGCCGACCTACGCTCACCCCAAGTGCAGGTCCGTGCGGGTGTCCGTACTCGTACGCTGAGAGGATGGATCCTGTCTGCACCCGCACCCATACAGACCTGCATTTGGGGTGAGCGTAAGGCGGCGTACTCCCGTAGAGAAGGACAGGGGCTGCGTACTAATCACACACAGCACCTGTCCTTTCCGGGAGCTGCCTGATACGGCCGTGTACGCAGCACAGAGCTGTACGTGCCGGCCGATTATCGTGTGAATGAGGCCTAAAAGCTCTGCCACTTTTGAGTCGGAGCCGGCTTGCTCCTTGCCGCCTCCCATGCAATCCTTTTGGCCCATCACTATGAGGGAAAGCCTCAATGGCCAATAGGAATATATGGTAGGAAGAAGGGGGTGGACAGGCTCTGTCACTAACAGGAAGTACCAAGCCTTTGCTGAATGGTGCATCCTTCGGCCATAAAGCTGCAGCATGTGTGCGCACCTACATACCTACCTTCCCTACACCTACCTACCCCACACAGTTATTTATACATTAATAACTCCATTCCCAATATCTAACCACAAAAGTATCCCCTAACCCCAGGGGTAGGCAGCCTCAGCATGCCGCCCAGCAAATCCAGTGTTGTCCTGCTGCGATCTGTTGCCACAGCCCGAGTTCCGCACCGCCATCTTGGTCCTACTCAGGAGCACCGTCATCAGGGTGCCCGGCTGCCCGAACCCAGAAGAGGCAGAGGGTCCCCGATGACTTGGGTCTGGTTTATGGGCAAAAGCCCATAAACACAGGTCATAGCAGCCATAGTCCTTATGTTCTTTGGTCCTCACACAGACCAGCATTGCAGAAAGGGGAGGGGTGTGTGTGACCAGGTCTGTTACTGAGGGCTGATTACTGAGTGCAGTGCACTGGGCCTATTGTTCTGCACGGTCATATGTAGACACCCGGCAAAGTGGAGGTAAGGCTATGAAAATGGAGCTTGTGGGTACAAGGTTTGTTTGACTGAATTGTGACTTGACCTTGGCTTCCATCACAACAAAATCATTAAACTGTGTAAAGTGCTTCCAGGGATTAACCTGTATCGTGTGAAAAACAAAAGAGGATTAGTATGGCCTCTCTTTTATCCAAGAAGGCCACGCAAAGAAAATTGGTATGTACGGTATGTGTTATTGGGAATGGATGGGGATTTTGGACTGTGCGATGGCATGTCAGTTAGAGAGGAACAGTCCAAAAGTGAGCAGTGACTGTTGTGCTGGCTTGGGCCTGTAAAACACTTTAGCACTGCTGAAAACTTGCAAATGATGGAAAGTTCCGGCAGCCTTGTAGCTTAGATGTCATTACAAGTGGCCTCATTTCTGGAGCCTTTCATGTAACCGCTGTGGTTATGGGAGCATTAACCCAGATTTGTGGGCGTACTAATGACGTTCGTGTGTTTATTTTATACAATGTAAACTGGGACTGTTGATGTGTCTGCAATATTCACCACACCTACACCCACATAGAAATACACACACCAATGTTTTCCTTCCCTCCTCTACCCCTGGGGTCTCTCGCTCTCCCCCCCCCCCCAAAAAAACACGGAACATGTTAATGGTGCGTCAAACTCAGCTGGGAAGATATATGATTTTCCTGCACATTCACACGGATGAAAACACGCACAGAAGGGCAGATTTTGCTACATGAGCTACTTTTCCCATCTTTGGCGCACATGAGGCACCCATTGAAATCAACAGCACCACAC